CCAGCTATTGCTAGAGATGTTGGCTTAGCATTTCACTATTGCATTGTGAGTCTTACAACACTAGACTGCAACAGCTTGACAAGTGTTCACACTGTGCTAATGTGTGAGCATATGTGTGCACGTGTGTGTGTGTAGGTGTTCTTTCATATGCTAAGCACTGCTTTGGGACAAAAAAAAGAAGTAGGGCAGCAAAAGCTTTAATGACTTCAGTATCATTCTGGGTGAACTGCTGTTACTGAACTGCCCACAAAATAAATCCTGCTATATTTATTCACAGGGAGCTCTGGTGGCACGGTGCCTAAGGCATTTGACTGCTAACCAGAACCCACCAACCAGTCCATGGAAGGAAGATGGCGCAATCTACTTCTGTAACGATTTACTGCCTTGGAAACTCAAAGGGGGTTGCTATGAGTCGGAATTGACTCTATGGCAGTGAGGGTTTTTTTTTTTTTGGTATACTTATTCAAGGATGTTCAATGCTCAGTGAGTAAACCCTAATTCTGTTTGTATTTATGATGCAATTGTAAAATAATTGGCTAAAAGTGTAAGAGTGTATGTGTGTGTGTATACACACAAGAGCTTATTGAAGGAGCCTGAGCCTTTTCAAAATCGTAGCCACTGGTGGGGGTGGGGGAGAGGTATGTGGTCAGATGCTTATTCCAGGGACTTTTAGAGAGTTTGAGCACTCCTCTTGGGGAACTGCTCTTGGAATTATCCCCATACTCTTCAAAATACCTTCAATGGAAGCAAATATGCCAACTATGAGAATCCTATTTTTAGAAAATCAAGAATCATTCAGAACCAACTCTTATGATTAGGATGATTGATGCAGAGTCTTACGGCCATTTTCTATCAAAATAAAGAATAAATAAAATGTACAAGGTAGATTATTAAGAATTTTTTATGAGTGGGCCTAGACAACAGTGGGCACAGAGAAATGTCTAACATGTCTAAGCAATGGGCACTTCGGCTAAATTAGGTTTACAATCCCTACTAAGAACTTATCTGAATCACTCTAACAATAATTAACATTATTACTATTAATTATCAGTGACATTATTGACAGTTATTTTTAATACTATATAATTGCATAGCAATTTCCAGTTCATGAAGAACTTTCACTTCTATTTGAGATGCTATTTATAATGAGCTGGTGAACTAGTCAGAGAATGTGTACATTAGATTATTTTAGAGAATAGGACAAAAGTGTCACTTAAAAGGATTAGTTAACTTGGCCAAGGTCAAAGAATTAGTAAATCACAAAGGAAGCTTGTAACAGGGCTCAAGAGTCTTAACTCTTGCTAGCAGTGTTAATAATCAGATACTGAACTTGTATTACTTTACAGTCATACATTAAGAAGCTCTGGTGGTACAGTGGATAAAGCATTTGACTGCTAACCAGAAGGTCACAAGTTCAAACCCACCAGCTGCTCCATGGAAGGAAGATGGAATAATCTACTTCCATAAAGATTTATAGCCTTGGAAACCCAATGAAGATCACTCTGAGCTGGAATTGACTCAATGGCAATGAGTTTTTTTTTTTTTTTTTGGTGAAGTCATGCATTATACTGGTTCTATATTCATTTCAATTTTCCCAGATCATATCCTTTCTTAGTAGGTAGATGTGCCACCACTGAGGTAAAAAAAAATGCCAAAAAATTGGTAACAAGGAGTTCCTTAGGTGTTTCATCCTTTTCTATAAGTGAAAAAGCCTATTTTCTCAAACTTCCCCCACATTCCAGGACACTCAAAGTACAAAATGAAGTAGATTATCTTTTTTTGATTACTATTCTTATAGCCAGTTTTAATCTGAAACTTAATCTCTTATGTAAGCAGCTTTTATCCGTTTTGTCGTAGAGTATTTGTTCCTCATGTATTTTGAGGGCCAAACCATAGACATTTTGCATAAATGTTACTCAAACAAGTATTCTTTGATGTGCCATTGTTTCCTTTTTGAGGAAGTTAATTAAGGTTATAGACATCTGGGCTTTAAAACTGATCTATTTTACTTCTTATACAAATTATTTGGAAAATTACATGCCCCTGCAAGATGTTATTTAATCTCTTTACAGCTAAGTTTCTGAATTTTGAAAATGTCCCAGACTGCATATGCTACATTGCAGCTGCATGCTCCTGAGGAGGTCAGTACTTCTCTCTGGCCCTCAACCTCCCTGTTTGTGAAATGAGGGGCTTTAATGAAATGGTTTCTAAGCCTTTAAGAGTTGGTACATGTAGAACAAATAGTTCTGGACAGTAGGGTTATACTTTGGGGGCCAGGTAGGTAAACTATAAGTGTGACATGGCTAATTAACTGGAGCGATTGACATTTTAGGAGCTCTGGTAGCATAGTGCCTAAGGCACTTGACTGCTAACCAGGAGGCTGGCAGTTCAAACCCACCAGCCACTCCTCGGAAGGAAGGTTGGGCAATCCTACTTCCGTAGTGATAACTGCCTCGGAAACCCAAGGAGGGGTCGCTAGGAGTCAGGGCCGACTCGATGGCAAATAACAATAACAACAATTGACATTTTGGTCATATGTGGCTGGGGGCTGTCCTATGCACTGTAGGATGTTTAGCACTATCATCGGCCTCTACCTCCTTGATGTGAGTAGCACCGCCCACCAATGCACCAATCAAAAATGTCTCAATTTTTGACACTGCCAGATATCCCCTTGTTATCGTGTTAGTTGCCTGTGACTTGATTCTGACTCATGGCGACCTCATATGTGTCACAGTCGAACTGCTCTGCAGGGTTTTCAAGGCTGTGACTGTTCTGAGGCAGATCACTAGGCCTGTCTTCTAAGGCACCTCTGGGTGAGTTCAAACCACCAACCTTTCATCAATGAGTCAAATGCATTATCATTTATACCACAAAGGGGTCCTCAACTATCCCCTAAAAACCAAAAAAAAAAAAAAAAAAAACCAAACTCACTGCCATTGAGTCGATTTGACTCACAACAACCCGTCCTTGGATTTCTAAGGCAGTATCTACTACGGAAGTAGATTGTCCAGTCTTCCTTCCGAGGAGTGGCTGGTAGGTTTGAACCGCCAGCCTTCTGGTTAGCAGTCAAATGCCTTAGGCACTACGCCACTAGAGCTCCTAAATAGCCCCTAGCAGGGCATAATCACCCCTGTTAAGAATCACTGATGTATGAAAATCCAACCCATTAGCCACCCAGTAGATTCTAACTCATAGCAATCCTATAGGACAGAGTAGAACTGCCCCATAGGCTTTCCAAGGCTGTAAATCTTTACAGAAGCAGACTGCCTCATCTTTCTTCCTCAGAGCAGCTGGTAGGTTCGAATAGCTGACTTTTGGTTAGCATCCAAATGCTTTAACCACAGTATTGCAAGAGCCCCTGATGTATGACAATGTTGTTGTTGTTGTTATGTGCCGTCGAGTCAAACCTGACTCATAGCGACCCCTCCTTGGGTTTCCGAGGCAGTATCACTACGGAAGTAGGACTGCCCAACCTTCCGAGGAGTGGCTGGTGGGTTGAACCGCCAGCCGTCTGGTTAGTAGGCAAGTGTCTTAGTCACTATGCTACCAGAGCTCCCGATGTATGACAATGTTGTTGTTGTTGTTGTTATGTGCCGTCGAGTCGGCCCCGACTCATAGCCAATAGGGAGTGGAAATTACAGAGGCTAAATGAAATGTATATTTCCTACTGAAAAGAATCCCAGTTCATATTAAAAAATCTTGGTTTGTAGGATTCTGTATCCCTTCTCAGCACCATAACTCTCTCCCTACAACACACATACACAGCAAATCAGCAGTTCCTGTCATAAAAGAACACATTTAGGCTATACATTTTGTTAGACCAGGGATGGGCCTCCAAGTTGCACATACTAATTATTGAAACCATTCCTACTCTATTTTTCCATATGCTCAATGGGCATAATAATATAATGTTAGGAGAACAAATGGGGGGGGGGGGGCCAAATAACATAGTATTTGGCATATAGCAATACCTTCATTGAATACTTGCTAATAATTTATGAAAGAGGACACTACATATTAGGGAATGTTCTTACTGTCACGTTTCCATAATTTGCAAATAGCAAATGATCTATTTCAATGGTTAAGTCTAAAGTGGGAACTCTGGTGGCATAATGCCTAAGGCACCTGACTGCTACCCAGAAGGCTGGCAGTTCGACCCACCAGTCACTCCTCAGAAGAAAGACCGGGCAATCTACTTCTGTAGAGATACCGCCTCTGAAATCCAAGAAGGATGTGAGTTGAATCGACTTGAGGGCAGTGAATTTGTTCTCTCTCTCTCTCTTTTTTTTATTTTTTAAGTGTATTGTAAACATGATAAAATCATCTCTTCTCACTTAGGCATTTTAATAGGCTCAACTTAAAAACCAAACCCAAACTCACTGCCATCGAATCGATTCTGACTCATAGTGTCCCCAATGGGTTTTTGAGGCAATAAATTTGTGTGGAAGTAGATTGCCTAGACTTGCTTCTGCAGATTCTTGTTTCTACTGCCATCTTTTTTTCCTCCTTTGAGGTATTCTTACAAATGCCCACCCAAACTCCCACTTTCATTCTTGCTCTGTACAGAAAAGTTGACTTCTATTTTTATTTTTCATGGAAACCTCTTCATACACACACAAAATACAATTTGTGGGACAAAATGTGGGTAGAATGTTTATGGGGTGCCTGGGGAAATTGTCTAGGGAAAAGAATCAAGTGCTTGTCTTATGGATAGACTGTTACATAAAGCAACTCTCATCACACCTGGCTACTGTACAACAGACCTTTCATTTGCATCTCAAAACAAAAAACTTAATTGTTCTATTGAGTATGTTAACAAAACAAATCTGAATGTGTAGAAATGTTAAAGTTCTACTATTTTGCTTACAGTTAAAGAAATGCTAACTTGCCCAACCCTATTTTACTCATATATAATTAGATTTTGAGCAGATTTTTTTCTAGTGGGTATGTGGATGCTGGATAGCCAAAAGAGGGGAAAAAAAATCACAAGCTAATCATACCTGTCATGTCTCAGGGCTCTCATATCAACATACACAGTGGTTGGGTCAGGTCCAGAGGTCCCCTGTAAACGATGACAGACTGTAGTTAATTTAAGTTTGAGGGGAAAGAAATCTGGCTCTTGTGCCTTCTACTAGTTAGTAAGCGTTTTCTTTGGTAAAATCTCAAACTTCAAAAAAAATTAAAAGCACTAAAACCATAGCTCTCTAAGATACCTGTTACCTTTCACTTTGATAATCTAATTGCAAAAAGGAACATTTTATTAAGATAATACTGGACTTTTACATAGCTTGACTATCAGTCACATAAATCAAAATAAGAACTAAAGGAGACATGCCATATGTTTTGATAAATAAAAGAAGGTTGACATGGCTGAGAAAACGGTTGGCTGGCAGAAGCAAGTGTCAAGGATATGAAGCATCATTTGCTAAGAAACTTTTACTGCATGCATTCAAAGAGGTATATATTTAGAGCTTTAGATATCGAAGCAAAACATGGCATGGACTGACAAAGATTAAGAAGGAAAAGACTAGAGATAATTATTTTGTTCCTTTCAGCTCTACATGTGCCTTAAGTTTTCTCCAAAACCTCATGAGGTTATTTCCAGCAGTGACTTAATTATACAAGGTTGTATGTTTACCCAGAGTCAGCTGGGCAGGACTTTGTGGTCTTGAGCTGTCTATATCTATTTCTTTAAACAGGGTCAAAAATCTTACCTTGGGGCATAAATCCCTTAAAAAAATATGCCAGGGTGACTTTTGACCAGGTATCTCTGTCCATGTAAGAGCAATGTCACTAAATCTACATTACACATAAGTTTCTTGGGAAGGCAATGTAATGTCTTGGGTGACTATAACAAGTCTGACAAAAAATAAAGAAGCCCCTTCAACATGTATATGTAGAGTCACACTAAAATTATTCAGGAATAGGCTCTAATCTTGTACCAAAGGAATATTTAATATAAGAAAAAAGCAAAAGTAAAGACAATATCATTACAACGTACTGTACCACTCAATAATCCTGATCATTAGTAGCCCACCACCATAATAGAAAAAAAGAATAGCACATGCAAATTAGCCTATAGGTGGAAGCTTACAACAATAGTACAATTCAATGGACATTCTAACTCTATGACTATTCCATAAAGCTGTGTTACAGACTAGCACTGAGTGAAGAAGTGGTTTGATGTTTTGAATAATGGAAAACATATAATGATAGAAGGCCAATTTAAAAAATAAATCATAAAACAGTTCACTAAACATGGAAAATAAAATAAAACAGAGATGAAGCAAACCACTGGTTATGTACAATGGAAGTAAAACGTTAGTTACAAGTATGGAATGTTTGAAATGGTCTGAGAATATTACATCACCCTGGGCCATCTGTACTCTTGCATCACAGGGTCTAGAGCAGCCCCTCATCAGTCTCTGCACTCAACTTCTAGTCTGTCCCACTGCTGGAAGCTGATAAGACAGTAGGTAGGGTAGGCACTGGTATGGAGTGAACAGAAAATCCCCTACCTGCTCGGCCAGCTTCCACAGCCTGTGAGGCTATAGCAGCAGGAGGTCAGGAACAAGAAGAAGAAAGGAGAGAACACCAGACAAATGGAAACCAAAAATAAAAACACACACACACAGACACACAAACAAAACAACCCAACAATTAAAAATGGGATGAAGAAGAGGGAGAGTCAGGGAGGAGAATGCAAAAAGCAGGGAACAAAATAAAAAGATCAAAACCAACGTCAAATATGGAAATCGTTAAAATTAATCATTGTACCATTAAAGGCTAAAGAAAAAAAAAAAAACAAATTTTAAAAGATGTCAACATATTCACAGAGCAACAGAAGAGAGAGTAATAGATGACCAACCATGGACACAAAGAGCTAAGGAACTTTTCAATATATAAGTACAATGGTGTTACCAAATGGTTTTGTCATTTAAAAAAAATTTTTTTTTTCTTTTTCTTTGGGAACTTGGGAGCATGAATTTTATTGGCTCAATCTGTTGAACATTCCTTCATTGAAATAGTTTCATGTTTCTGAAAACAACGAAAGTGAGCCTTGAAGCTTTTCTATCTAAAATTAGTATATATAGCCCTATCCCTCTATAAGATAAATTGAAGAGGTAAAAGAGACATTAAGTAACTTTGAAACCAAAAAGATCCAAACATTAACCTCCTACATAGTTTAGTTTTAAAAAAGCAAAAAAACCTCACTGCTTTCGAGTCAATTCCGACTCATAGCGATCCCCTCTGGGTTTCCAACGTGGTAAATCTTTATAGAAGTAGATTGCCCAGCCTTCCTTCCACAGAGTGGCTGGTGGGTTTGAATCACCAACTTTCTGGTTAGCAGTCAAATGCCTTAGGCACTACGCCACCAGAGCTCCCTTATAGCCTAGTTGAGCTGCCTGTAATTGGTAATTAATCCAGTGTGGATGTCTACTCTAGTGAATATACTGTGGCAACCATCACAGCTTCTGTTCATAGGGAGCAGTTTCTCCCACACAAAGGCACTTCAGCTTTCATTTCCTTCTCTTCATCATCATCTATGTTTTTGGTACCCACCTGCTACCCGTGTTAAATTATCTTCATCATTAAGATTGAAAACTCTTTGCAAAGTAACTAGATCAAATTCCTTTGATGCAATGCATTTTTTCCTAGGCCACTTAGGTATGTTTTCCAACTATTTCCAGAGGTGTAGGAAAAGCAGAAGTTATCCCATAGGCACCTGAATTGATGCACAATTGATCTTTGTGTAGAGAGGTATAATCTATGTTCAATCTAAGGCCAATCCATATTTCCTGCAATCACATCTACTAGGCAGGCTCCAAAAGTAACAACAAAAACAATAAAGGAGCTCTTGACTAGTTTTCTTTGGGCTGCCACTCAGTAACAAACAGAGCCAGACTGAAAAACTACTACCACTCAAAACGGAGCCAAGTCTATAAAAATAATTTTTTTAAAGGTTCAAGACACTTAAAAATTATGATTCCATTCTTCTTTCTTTTACTTACTTCACTATGGTAATTGTGGCTACTGCTGTCTTTCAGCGTCCTCATGTTTTTTTTTTTTTTTTTTAAAGTGCAGTGATAGAGGTAGTATGTGCTTTGAAAGTACACAGATTTTTACTGGCAAAGTCAAGCAAATGTAATGATTCAAATAATCCCCTTCCTTCATGATTCCTTGATACCTAAATATTAACTTGAACAAAAATCAGTCAATGTTTTCTGTAAATTATTTTAATTCTCAAATTTGGTTGTAATAGTTCAATACACTATCTCAGAAAAAAACTTATTTATGGTTGGGAACTAATTTTTATCTAATTTTCTATCTTGCATATGTATGGATGAAATAATACAGAACCTGGAACAAAGCAGGTTTATTGAATTAATAAAAAAGAATAAATGAGGAAGGAGATAAAGAACTTAAAATACAGATGTTTCCAAATTTCAAAAAACCTAAGATACAAAAATATAAAGTTTTGAGATACATTTTAGGGAGTGTGAGTTTAACGAAATGTTCAGTTTGCCAAAGAGCGCATGTCAGAATTCCTTGAACTAAAGAGATGTTTAATGCATTCTAGGGCCCTTAAGGGTTTAAAGATCATAACATACTTGTAAAAACTGAAAAGTAATATTACAACTTGGTTGTAATTACAAAAAAATTCTATACCAAGGCAGTCTGGTGGTATAGTGGTTAAAACATTCAGCTGTTAACCAAAAGGTCAGAAGTTTGAACCTATCCGCTGCACCACAGACGCATACTGCAAAAAGGACCAACAGTAAAACAAAGTTACCCACTCCAACTAAAGCTTATTTAGAAATGAAAATAAAGCATTTCTGAAACCAGAAAATAATGAGAAAGCAGGATTCACTTTAAAATTAAATTTCATAATTAAAAAGTTACATATATGTTGGAAGTATATATACTAAAAAATATACAGTATCAATAATTTCCTTATTAATATAAAAGATTTCCTAGGACACAGGTATTAAGTGTTTATTGAACACGCTCTGGTGGTGTAGTGCCTTAGGCATTTGACTGTTAACCAGAAGGCTGGCAGTTCAAATCCACCAGCCACTCCTCGGAAGGAAGATTGGACAATCTACTTCTGTAGTGATACCATCTCGGAAACCCAAGGAGGGGGGTTGCTATGAGTTGGATCTGACTTGACAGCAGTGAGTTTGATTTTTTCTTTTGGTTGGAGTTATATTTAAATCTCATTTGAAGGTATGCAGCAAATGTCAACACAGAAAACCTAGTACAGTAAAAAAAAAAAAAAAAAACAACCACAAAAAAAAACCCCAAAAAACAAAACTCATTGTCATGGAGTCAATTCTGATTCACAGTGATCCCACAGGACAGAGTAGAACTGCCCTATAGAGTTTCCAAGGCTGTAAATCTTTACAGAAGACAGACTGCCTTTTGTTGCTTCCGTGGTACAGTGGATGGGTTCAAACCTCTGACCTTTTGTTTAGCAGCTGAATGCTTTACCCACTGTACCTAACCAGAGCTCCTTGTATAGTACTTTGTTGTAATTACAACCGAACAAACTGATGTGATTTTACTGTTCAGTGAATCATATACCAAAGTATTAGTACAGCTTAGTACTATGGCATAGCTTCTTAAGAGTTTAAAATTTCCTAAGTAGAAATATGTGAAATAAAGACAAAAAGCAAGCTGTACCATTGATATTGGGTATATCTACTATGCCATATGTTTGAGGAGTCAAGACAGCTTGTGTAAGATGTCTCCATACAAACGATACTCTTCAGATTAAAAGGGACAATGCCATATTATTTGATACTTCTTTGCACTCAATTTTTCCAAAGAATTTCTCTATTCACACGAAAATGTGGGTGTTATGGAAATGATGCTACATTTAGAAGAGACTTACTACTGTAGTTTGAGTGATCTTTTGAAAACACATAACTGATGATGACACACCCCTGCCCTAAGCCCAGAAATGATTTCCCACTGATGGTAGGAAAAAGACAAAATGCCTTAATAGCACCTTGACAACTGTCCCTATCTGCCCACCTCATCAGCTCCATTTACATTCTG